GACTGCTGCTAGTTAATTAAATGTAGATAGCCCCTGAAAATTGCATTATCCTTTTCTGTCCCTATTATATAAATTAATGTCAAATTGATGCAATGTTTCATGTTTAAAATAATAGATACATGTGTTAAAAATTATAGCCTGCAGTTTTCCTGTTTGACAATGCATTATTTTCAACTGGAAATGTCAGTTTCTAACCTTCTGTCCAGAGTACTTTGCAAAGGGCAGTAAGCATTAAGTGTTAATTATCAAATATAGTGTCTTTTGAAACTTCAACAATACTATTTGTGGAGGAAAAGATATGGTATAGGGACTTTCTGTTTTGAAAATAATCTAATGAAATTAAATGTTCAACAGATGGTTATCAATAAAAGAAGTTCCTTTGAATGAAGAAAAGTCATCTTTTCTGGCAGATAGGTTTCAGTGTCACCTGCTCCATTTTCAGCAAGTGGTTCATTTGCCTTTTATTTCCCAACTCTTTATATAAAAAGTTGAGAATTAAATTCTATTTTTTTTTTTTTTTTCAAACTCAGGTGTCATCCCCTGAAGTCACCTGAAAGCTGCAAAAGCACAAATATCATTGTCATTGTCCTATCAAACATCACAATCTGCCAGCTTTGCTTTACTGCCTTAATTGAGCGATGTCATATCAATGTCATTAAAAGAAGCTGTACAGTTAGGATGTTTCTCCTGCTCTCATAATTATCCTTTTTAACAATTTACAAAAATATTTCATTAGACTCTTTGTACTACAGCTTTTTGTATTGTGATCAATGTCAGTCGACGACTCTGCCTTTTTTAATTACTGAACTGGGTGATTAGAGTTAATAAGCTATGAGATGTAAATACTGCCATTTCAAATAAACAAGAAAGCACTTAGAAACCAAAACAAAGCCTTTCACTGAACTCAGGCACAACATCCTCTGAGAGATATGTGGCACAAGTGATTCACTATATTACTTACCGTAAAGGATGCACCTTGTTACTTTAAACAGCAAAATCTAGCAGCAGGTTTTCAGGGTCTGAGATATTCTTTTAAAAGGTGCAGCTTAAAAACGCCATATTTTCAGATCACATATTTTGTACTTTCCAACCTAAAGAGAAAGTCATTCTCTCATAAAAATACCTTACAAAAACAGCTTTAGTTTTCACTTTTCTTCTGTAAAGGACACCCTCCCTGCAGGTCTCCACAGAGCCATCCACTGCTGCTGTTCCAAGGCAGAAAACCTTTCTATGTGTATGGAATCTCTAACATTTAAGATATGGTATATATAAACTTGGGGTTTGGGTTGAAAGCTAAGTAACACTGGGTTTTAGAACAGCAGGTACACGTTGGTACTACAAGGAAATTTCCTTCTGCATTATGGATCCTTGTATTTCTTCCTACAAATTCAGCAAATATTGATGGTAAGGTCCATACACGTATGTTCCTGGGCATAACTAATAACTTTACTGGCTTGTTTTTAAATCAGTTATATATGTTGTTTAAGAGTTACTTGTAAGATGGATACATTTTTGTAGTTTCTGATAAACTTTCCATTAATGCCTATTTTTTACTCTTTTCAGCAGGTATCTATTAACAATGCAGTGTTTTGTAAACTCTTTAATAATAGAAAAAAACCTGTTATGATCATAAAGTGGGGAAAATGCTGCCTAATTGTGGCCAGGATAAACTGCACTTAATATCTGTTGTCAACAAAGCAATTTGCCAGATGATATCTTTAAATCCTTTCCGTAAATTGTTTCTAGCACAAATTATTGTAGATGGTTACGTTCAAGAGCCCATTCCAAAGAACTGCCTTAAATAAAAAAAACAAAAAAAAAGACAAAAAGCCCCCCAACAATTATCTCAGTCCGTGTTAGCAGGATGAGGATTTATTTCTGTTTTTCACGGAGGTTTCTGTGCTCACTCTGACGGGTCTGGAGCAGCACAATATCCTGGGAGCAGCGTGCGCGCCGCGCGATTCCATTAGCGCGGCTGCCCGGCGCTCTACAAGGTTACGTGGTGCTGCCCCAGGCACTCCTGCAGTGCTCTGGGACATGGAGCTGCTCCTTCCCCACGGCCTCTGGCTGGGGTGCAGGGTCCCCAGGAGCTGGGCTCACCCCACTGCTGAGCGTGGGTGCCGCCCCACTGCGCACCCCGGCTTTTGTGGGTCCCCCTGTGGAACACGGCTCCGGAACTCAAGGGCTGCAGCTTCCCTTTTGCAGTTGGGGATTTTTCATCTCCACCCTTAAATCTTTTTGCAGTGAGATTTCAAGTCAAACGTGTTTCAGCACACTTTTCCTGAGAAGGCAGATTTACATATGCATTAGGTTCATTTTATCAGAGTACACACACAGCAATGACACATCTCATTGACAATGTGCTGTCTGATGGATAACTCCATACAAAACACATATTTGAAAGGAAAATTGGAGGAGGAATAGGATTAAGAGTCTGTACATAAGTGACATTATGTTTTGTGAAGATGAACTGCAGGAATGTCTTGCCTTACTTCACAGTTTTGGATTATTCAAAGGTCCAACAAGTGTTTTGCAAGTGTAAAAAAACTTGCTGCACACCATCATCAGGCAGAAACTGCTAGGACCAAGTCTGTGCATACCTGAAATTACTATATGCTTTACAATGAAAATATTAAAAAAGCTCCTACAGACTGATTTTCAATGCCTCATTGCCACGTGGGACTCATTCCTTGTCCAGGCAAGGTGAGCAATAGTGCTTAAATATTGTGGTTTAATTGTGTCCTGAGTCATAGGTAGCAACAGCCCTGCATTTCCAGCTGGGTGGCTGCTGTCCTCTCCTGCCAGGATGGTGTTTGACACTTTGCTTGACTGGAGGGAACTGAGAGCTGGTGGGAGCTGGAACAGTTTTGGTTGCCACTTAGCTTTATAGGGTGTCAGTGACCAAGAGCTGTGGAAGATTTTAGATTCCAAAGTGTGTGTTCTAACATTCCTTTGAGCAGAATGTCCATATACTGCCAGCCATCCTTCTTAGTGCACTGCACAGACTTCTTCCTTCTTTCCTTCTTTTCTCCCTTTCTGTTTCTTGATTGCAAGGATTTTTAATAATTAAAAATATATGCAGCTCTTACTCAAGATAGACATTTTCTTCTCTATGTCCATGGAAGAAATAGAATATTTAATTACAAGGGAAAAATATAAATAAAATGCAGTGGTGTTTCTAGAGGAAGATGCATTGTTTCTGGGATTTATCACCATCACCAAGGAAGAATGGGACAGCAACACCTCCAAAGCCCAGAGCTGGTACCCTGAAAATTCATGGCATCGAGCTCAGCACCTCTTTTCAGGCTTTTCTTGGACTGGTTATCCAGGTAGTTTTGTTTATTTTTCTGCTGAAAGAAGATGTTGCTCATCATGTGCCAAACCTAGAAAATAAAGATGTCTGAATAATTTCATGTAGACCTTGATCTGTGGTTTGTGGTAATGGTGTTTGCTGTGGAGATGACATTGGTCACACTCAGGTCTGTGGCTGCACCCACTCTGCACATGACCTGAGCTCCACCTTTGCTGCTGCTTCCTGCTGGCCATAAGTTAAAGTTTGCAAAGAAGTGCACTCCAGTACAATTTTACCTTGGGAGTGAAAAATGATTGGATTCCATCTTGGCTTGTTCATTTAATGTCTTGGTGAGCTAGTACATATCTTTGAATTCCTACCTCAGGTTTCCCCTCTATAAAATGGCACAATAATACTGTCTTGGTTCCTTTCAAGGAGAGTCTTCTAAGATCTGTTAATAAATGTCAGTGATGCACTTTAGAGATCCTCTAAGGAGTATCCAGTAGAAGTATACTGTGAATTATTGACTCACTCTTTCTGACCCACTCTCTAGCACACATTCACACTCCTGAAATCCCTTAGAAATAAGGTGCTGGCACCATAGCTTTAGATTACTCTGGTTTATGCAAAGGTAAGCACTTAGGTGCCCAGCTGCCTATATATATATAACCTAACCCTAACCCTGTCTTTGATGGGAAAGTTGGCTAGTTGTGTACTAAGTAGGCAGATTTTTTAAAATTATAAACCAAAATTTTACAGAAATAGGAACCTTCACCCACTCCCCTAAAAAAGAAAAAAAATCAATGTCTAAAATGAGGCTAAAGTATTGTCTGTGTTTTAAAATATATCTAATTCTTGGATGATGCACAAACGCCATCAGCCCTCTGGGGATCTGGGGGACTTCCAGGATTAGGAAGGACCATAGGAGAAAAAATGCTCCAACTTCTTAATCCCATGGGGAGGTGAGGGAGAGGAAACAGTGATGGCAGATATTGTTAATGTGATCTAATTCATCCTGGTGAGCACTACAGTCCAACTGCCAGGACAACCTAAAAAACTACATAGCTTTGCTCAGGGTTTCGAGCTTGGGGAGCTGTGCAATAGCATAGCAGATACCTCTGTGTGGCTTCAGGATGGGGCTCAGCCTTATCCTCTGCCCATCTCCAAAGATGAGCTCCAATTTCAGATTTGTAATTATTGATTGGTTGATGATCTCTCCAGATCAGCTGGGTAAGTACCTGTGTGTTGGTTTACATGAACAACGGAGCAAAAATTTTCAACTGAATTCTTTTTAATATGTTTGTGTGAAAGAAAGAGAATCAGCAATACTAAAATATTGTTAAATTCTTCTTGGCTGTGCTAGATTGTTCACATAAAGAAAGGTAACAAAAACATCCAGAAAATTTTTTATTGTTTCACCCTTGTGTTTTCCAGCTATGTCATTTCACTGTCTTCATTTAGCATTTCATCTAGAAATTTTCAAAATAGATAATGTTGTTTTATTTAATTTGACTTTGCGCTGAATTTTCCTTCTATTCTTTAAAAAATTATTATTATTTAATTTGCTTTGAATCTAAATGAAAAAAATGTTTGAAATAAATACAGCATGTTTATTCTCTAAGGATTGTTTTTCTTCTCTTCCAGTTTATGAGAAGTTGAGGAAAAAAATCTTATCCTCATTCAACTGAAGTTTATTTTATTGTTCTAGGGCCTGTTGTGGAGTAAGAAACCTCATCTACAAGCATGGTTGCGCACAGACCTCCCTGTGACCTTTCCTTGGTCAAACCACTCCCATGGAAAGGAAGGGAATAGGGGAGAGATGAAGGGATGGAGTGGTAGGAGAGATCCCTGAAGAGGTCAGCCAGCAGCAAGGGCTGTGCTCCCAGCATTTGGGGATGGGAAAGGAAAGGCTGATGGTGAGACCACAAAACCTGGACTGCTGCAACCAGCACTAGCATTCACTGACATCTGTACTTCTGTGCTAAATTTTGGAGGAGCGGAAAAATAAATTATCTCTGTGCCTCTCAGCCTTGATTTAAAGGTGGTGTTATTATTTTCATTTGGTGTACATTTTTAAGAGCCTGTAGACAACTCCACCCAGGTCTCTGTGCAGCATGAGGCACAGCTCCAGGGAGAGCTCCCTCCTAGCTGTTGTGAGAGTTGATCCTGGAAAACAGAGATGGTTCCTAGGAGGAATCATAATCTCATCAGCTAAAGGGTGGATATTCAGTTTTCACTTGTTTGAGATATTTGCACGTGACAGGTTGGCCTTGCCAGCCTGGCTTGTGTGGGACATCAGTTCAGCATTTATGGGTGCTCCTGCCTTGGAGAAGATGTCAAAATGATTGTAGGCCATTAAAGACAGTCTAATATACCTTGAGGTTAACTCGCACGCTGGTGATGAGTATCAGGATTTCCATAATTTTTGGCAAGCATCCTTTCTATTTATGTAGCCAACTATTGATATTCATAGCATAAAAACTGGTTATTCAGCTAAAACCCCTGTGCAATCAATCAGTGATACAGTCTATCAAGTGTCTCAGCCTGTAGTCATTACTATGTTGGGATTTTTTTTTTCCATTTGGAGACATTTGGGATGACTCAATTTCTCTGATCTTGTAGCATTCCCTGTGTCTTTAGAGGGGAATTTGTAATTGTTGAATTATTCTTGGCCATCTTTCATTCGGAATTTATGTTGTAATTTCAGCAAAAGCCAGACCTTGTACGGCAGTTTTCATCTTTTTCAAGGCTGCTTCTATTTCTTGAAATGCTGGAGGGTTTCCAATTATTCCTTCTGGTCGCTTTGGATGTGAATTGTAACAGATCATCCCAGAGTCGTGGTTCAACATTGTTAAGCTTATCAATATAAATATAATGTTAAACCCTTTTTAGATAATTGGGGGCTAGGTGTGAAAATGTGACCAATTTATGCATAAATTGGTCCTACACTTCTCTTTTTTCCCTTATCAGAAAGAATCTCATCATGAACAGGTTTTAGACTGTTCCTTGTCAGGGCTTCTTCTATACCTGTTAACGGTTGATTAGGTTGTTATATCACATTTCAATACCTGCTTAACCTGATGCCAGTCAACTATGCAAACAAAATTCATTAAGGCAAACAGAAGTCTCTGAGCTGGAATTGTAAGGCAAAAAAAGAAAAGAAAAAAAAAGGGTTGATATATCAGCTTTTACTCTGTGAAACAATGAAGGCTTGTAAATCCATACATTGGGAGAGCACTGGATCAGAAGTAAAACTGAAAATGAGGAATGAGATAACACAGGAGTCTTTATATCTATATCCACCCTTTGATGCCTGCTGGTGTGAGTCTCTCTGCCAGGCACATGGACATGCTGGAGGGCAGTTTCAGGAGGCAGCTGAACACGTGGCCTTACTGGTTTAGGTCCTGGTTCCAGTTGGTGTTTGCCAAAGTGCATCTTACAGTAGTTTGTCTTTTTCACCGTGCTTATTACGTTCATAGGAGGCTCGTTTGTAGCCTATCATTATGATGAAGTGAAGTTTAAAATTACATTGGGAAGCTGCTTAAGGACCATCATGCAGGTCCAGGGAGAGGGCTTATCCAGCCTGCTCACACCCAGCTCAGCCCAGGAGCTCCATTACTCATGCTGACCAAAGCAGCTCCTCTGGACAACTTGCAGGGGCAGCATGGCTCGGTCAGGGACCAAAATGCACCAGAGGGAATGTTCAGAGAGGGATTTACCTTTGGAGAGGGTAAATTATTCTTTCAGAAATATTGTGGGTAAGAGAATTGAAGCCAGAAAAAATTTGCACTCAAATACGTTGTTTCTGGATTTCTTTAGTGAGTGTACACTTAGAACAAGCCAAGTGCATTGGCAAACTCTTCCTGCTCATCCAGTGCGTGCTTGAGATGTGTGAATGCCTGTAACAGAAAAAGTGTGGTTTATTTTGGTAATGTCTAGTAATTTGATTTAATATATAAAAAGAATGTCATCTTAGTATTAACTATAACAAACAGAAACTGAATTGTGAAAGAGAGGATGTCCCTACTTACTAAATATGCATGAAAAGGCTAGAATTGCTACCTCTTACAACAGAATCATGACAGTAATTTGTCCCTTGTTGGAATACATCAATTTTACCCCCTCCCTTTCTACCTTTGGAGAAGAGGGAATGAAGATTAAATGTGTCTTGATTTTAAAACATCTATAGAAAAATATCAAATAAGCCATATTCTCAAACAGTTCCTGTTCTTTCAGAATTTTTCTGTTAAGAGCTTAGTATGTTTTAATGAATTGTGCTGAAGGGCATCATTACCTGCTCCCTAATACTAGTCCTTTTGGGTCAAGAAAGAGGATTATTCGGAAATATGATTTCTACCAAGTATGCTTTGGTGGTTACAGTAAAATTCAAAGAGCACTAAGTTTGTTTGCATAGCTTGATTTGTATAAATGATCCCATACCTAAGCAATTTAAGCACCACCATTGTACATGTTGCATCCATGACTGAGCCCAGGAGCACAGTTTCGAACCCAGAATTTCATACTGGGCTGGATATTTGGCCCACACAGTTTAAGAAAACAGAAAATCTGGTGATATGCATTTAATAGCAATATAAAAATAAAACCCAATAAAAATAATGAGAATTATATTTCTATTGGGAGAACATTAAAGTCATAATGGTACAAATGGGCTTTGGATAATTGATAATAGTGAGGCAGAAAATTATTTTCAGCTCCCCCTCCTTTGCAGTAAAATACATCTACATTTAAAAAGAAGAAGAAATAGCTTTCTTCTCTTTTCTTTTGGCAACGGTGAGGGTGCTTTGACCAGTGTTGCTCAGTAAACCTCAGAGCCACGCTGAAAATGAACGCGTGAGTTTGCTGCGTTGGCAAGTCCCACCCTGGAGCTGTGGGATGGTGGAGGGATGTCACCCCTTGGCTGCAACCTTGCTGATCACTGCAAACCCGAGTAAAGGTTAATCATTCCTAATCTGTGGTTTTACTGAACCAGTGTCTTCCTGCTGCTGCTGCTGCACTCCTGCTGCAGCTGTGCAGAGGGAGGCGGCTCCCTTGGCTGATTTGCATCCAGCCTTACTGCAGTTCTTTTCCTTTGGAAACACATGGCCTGGAACGTGTGAGAAGAGGAAGAGAGGGTGTCCTGTTTCTCTCCAGGACAAGGTAATGGGGTTTTGCCTGCCTGGTGCTGGGCAGCAACTTGTAGGTGCTCTGCAGGAGAGTGGAGCAAAGGATGTTCTTGTCCTCTGTGCTGTTTGAAGTCACTGGTATTGCTCCATTGCTTGCTGAGATTATCAGCCTGTCTACATTCAGTCACCACTCTAAATTCAAGAGGATTTGCCATTAATGCCATCTTGAGGCATTTTTAGTGACAAGGAAAAAAATTCTACTTGGGCTCATGGATGGTGGGGTAGATGTGCCTGATTTTGTCTTTGTTAAACCCATGTGAGAACCTTCCCATTACACAGCTTCCCCACGGTCTGTCTGGATTCATCTTAAAGCAACAAAAATGCAAATTAGCAAATTTGACTAAATTTGATAAAGAAGATTTGAAATCTATGAAAAGGGAACATTTTTGCACTGTCAGTGTAAGTGTGGGCTGAAGTGGGCAAGCGCTTACACAGCCATGGATTAATGGAAAACAAGAGCAGGTGGCAGAAGTGCCAAAGCAAAATATATTCTATCAACAAAATGATCAAGAAAGAGATTTCATCCAGGCCAGCTGGACCAGCCAGGCTGTAAGGGACAATGCTCTTCTGTTCAAGAGCCTGCCAGAAGATATTTAATGCACTGGATTTTCACTTGAAGGCTCTAAAGATTCTGTTTTCTTCAGCAAAGCAAAGGAAACAAATAAGTCAGAATACCTAAAAGTTAAAACAGACTTGGACTAAAAAAAAAAAAAAATCTCTGTTTATTTGTAGTACTAGGACAGAAATCTTGTAATTTCTTTTAACACTTGTTTAGTATTTCTGTGCTTTAGAATCCTTAACTTACAAAAGAGATACCTCTATTTAGTTGCCTGGATTGTTATATGAATGATTGTTGCACTGAAACTTAGATAATGTAATATTTATAAAGTATTTGCAGATCATTGAGTAGTAGACAACTTGGAAACCTTTTCTATTGTACTGAATCTTAACTAAATCTCTAGTTTTTGTCAAAAGATGTCTCTTCACATTTTAAACCAGGAAGCGTTTGTGGGTTTGTTTTTATAAATCAGTCTATACGAGGTTGATTTTATAATTGAACAAGTTAAATAAAAATTGGAAATGTTACTAAGCCACAGCCACTAACCTATAAAACAGGATAACCAGTGTCATTGGTCATAGAGTGTCACTGTCATAGAGACCAGAGACATTTTTCTGGGGTTTTGTTCTTGATACTGACAATGTAGACTGGTGATTGGTATAAGTTAATTTTTTTTTTTTTTTTTTTTTTTTTTTTTTTTTTAGCTATAATATGCCTGTTGTGCTAATCATTTCAGCCATTCTCTCATGAATTGACATGGTAGTTAAAAAGTTGCAACAGTGGCCAGGCATTACAGCTTGAAAACTCCTCAGTGCGCCAGGGCCCATTCCTGGGGTTTAGTTGGTATTTGTAAAGGAATACCAGTAGATCAGGTGAAGTGCCTGTGGTTTTTAGATGCACACCCTTTTAGAGCAAGCTTCCCACTGATCATCCTGCAAGGATGGAAGGAAGGTGGGGGCTTCTTTTTAATGCCCTGCTGTCACCTCTGTTATTGCTGCAAATTTTCCTTGTGTAGCTGGAACTGAAAAACATACAGTATGAAAACAGCTGTACACACTTGGTGGCTCTTCATCCTGCAGTGCATGTAAGGTAAGTGTTCAAACAAAGCAGTGAGAGGTAAAGCTCAGAGAAAAACCAGAGAGAACAGGTACCTTGCGCAAACATCCTGCTGTTTGCTGGTCATGGAAGGCAAGGTCTGGTTTCCCCTTAGAGCTCCTGGTGAAGCTGCCTCAGGCTCACGTAGTGCTGCTGGAATTGCCAGGAGTGCCCTCCCAGGGAATGTGGGC